TGTGTCTCGTCATCATACCACTCGATTGGTATGTTACCAATGGTATTTCGAAGGTCCTAAAATCAAGATGACAAGCCATTTATCAGAAAACTGTTAAAATTCAAAGAACTCACCTCTTCATCCGAAGAATCATAGTCATACTCATCCGGTTTTTTCTTCTGGACAGTTTTGATATCTCGCGTAGTGCCTTCCTCTTCTTTCGTTTCGGCTTTGGCAGCGCTTTTCTTTTTCTCACGTTCTGACACGGTTCGCTTCTTCCGTTTTGCTACGTCGGTCTTCACCTCCGTAGCCATAGCTCTTCTAAACTTTCAGCGATAACAAAAAGCAAAGATCGGAAAAAAGTATGAAGCAGTAAACATTTAGCGCATGGTCACAAAAAAATCTGAATTTCTATCGACGACACTCCGGCACTTCGAGTCATATCATTTAGCGTGTGAACACTGCCGCAGCTTGTCTCGGGGGAAAACGTGTTCTGCCAGTCATCTGCTGCACTTTGCATTTCGACAACGATTTCAGAGGTGAGCAAGGTTTTTATTTACATTTTAGTTCATTTTTGATATGTCATTACTTCTTAGATTGGTCTTTTTTGATTCTCACCGTTCTTGGTATTAGAATCCAAAAAAAAGGTTTTTTCCGCGTTTAATGTGATGTTCTATAAACGCTACGCTTCTGGCGCATTCGTCAGGTTTCTGCAGTGTTATACTTTACTCTTGATCATCAGGCCTTCGGAAGTTAACACGTTATTTTGTGTTTTGCTTTGTTGATTGAGAGAGGAGATTACCAGCAGGTTTTGCTAGATCGTAGGACCGGATTGCCGCAGCGCTAAAGCTAATTTCATGTCCATAAAATCATGTCGAAACATATCTTCAGTTGGCCTCTTTGGTTAAATCTCTAGCATACTTGCTCTAACTTTCAATACATCTGGAGATTTGGGAACTTCTGCCATGAAATTCACTGCTGCTGCTTAATATCTAAAATGCAAATTGCTGCATGCAGACATCATTTTTCTCGATGTCAATGGAATGGAGT